TACTACTAGTAAGGCACCTGTTACTAGTAGCGTGGCACTTGTTACTACCTGTGGAGACTTCGATTCGCGGGGAGTCCGGAGCCGAGCGGGTCGCAGCTGGAAGGTTCTGACTGGTTTTGAGGCTATCTGTCGAGAAGCAGCGGAGAGAAGATCGAGGTGGTGGTGGAGATGGTGAACACCGCCAAGCAAGAGGCTGCCATGTTTGAGTGTTGTTCCTTTGTGGCGTGGAATCCAGCAAGACATTTCTTTCATTTTGTCTATGATTTGCTTGGTTCATCCACAAGTTACCAAACACTGATTTTCTACCACCTGAGAAGGAACCGATGAGTTTTATTTATTTGGTGGGCTGACAGGTTTGCCAATGCTAGCTTGACCTCGAAGGGCTTTATATGTTTGTTTCCGCGGCAGGGTTGCCTTTTTCCCTCACCCTTTCGTCTTGGAGTCAGCACTCAGTGGCCTCAGCTACCAGTGCTTGCAGTGCTGGAAAATCCGTTTCACACCCCAAAGTCAAGCAGAAGTCACCAAAGGTGCAACACCAGCCATCATGCTTCATCATGCTTCATGATGCTTCATCCGTATCATTTGGTTGCTTCTCACCCCTCCAACCTTCATCTCCAGAACGACTTTCCGCCAGTGCTCCGTGTCGGTCGGTCAGGTGGAGGTCACAGGTGTCTCGATGCCGGGCTTTTTGCGCGTGGTGCCCTTCACCGTGATCGCTCGGTGCCCCGGGGGGGGGCGCCAAGGGCCGGTGGCGGGTGGTCAGGTGTGGCAACACGGTTTTCAGGTTTTCACCATGGTTTTTCACATACTTCCAAGTAGGTGTAGTTTTAAAAGGACACATCACGTTCTAGCTCTATTCGGGGGATACAACAGCAGGGTTACAACAGCAATGAGGGTAGCTGTATGCCCTTCTTCAACTGGGTTTGAGGTAGACTTGGTAGCTAGGAAACCAAGGTAAGAAACTGAGTTTGTTTGGCGGTTGAGTTTTAGCGGAAACATGTATGGCAACTGGCACATGGTTTTGAAGGATGACAACTCCCTGGGTTTTGCAGCTGAAGGAACCCCTGGATTGTACGAGGCCCCGAGT